AAGCGCTGGGTCCTCGGCGTCGTCTTCGGGCTCTCCCTCGTCTACTTCCTCAGCAGCACCTTCAAGCAGGTCAGTGTCCAGCGCCCTCCGCGGAGCCCCGTCCCGCCGCCCGGCACGCTGCGGGGGTTGGGAAAATGTCAACCCTCATCCCGGGGTTACTTTTCTTCCTGGAGTGTTGTCACTGAACTCCCGGGATGGAATTGCATCACAGCTGTTAAAGACAAGAGTTAAAAAAGGCATGTCTGTGTTTGCAAGCAACAGTGTTTTGAACCAAAACTGGAAAAAAAAAAATCTCGAAGGGACTTGGTTATTCTGTTGTAGTATCTGTTGTGACGTGTAATTTCAGTGGCAAAGAGCTCATGAGTGTGGTTATTTCGTGTAGTACGTGCTGCTCGTGGTTGTAACTGAGTCCAGCCGTGTTAGCTGATCCTGTGGAGAACTTGCTTCCCTGTTTTACTGGATTACATTGCTTTCGTGCTGCGTATAGCAAAAAGTAAGCTACTACAAGTCATGTGTTGCTTACTCCATCGACACTTTAGTTTCCTGTGCTGTGGAGTCTACGACTCCGAAGTGTTTTGAACTGTGGGAAACGCGTGCGGATTGGAATGGCAGAAGGAACTGGTATGTTTGGTTGCCTTACTGTTTCTCCTTGCAGGAAGAGAGGACAGTGAGAGATCGGAATCTCCTCCAAGTGCAAGAGCACGAGCAGCCGATCGTGTGGAAGGTGAAGTTCAGTTCAGGAAACAGCAGTCAGCTGAGTAACCAGTGCAGGAATTCTGTGCAGGGGAAGCTCCTCATTACAGACGAACTGGGTATACTTGATACTACGAATTTATTCTGCGTATCGCAGTGTCGAGCGCTGCTTTGCCTGTCTGGTTGGTGATGGCACTTCCAAGTAACAACTGCTCCTCGTTCATAAGGCGTTCTTACTGCAGCACCTCAGCGGGTGGTGTTTTACCCCCAGACCAGATGAGTTTTGCTGTGGCTGCAGGCGCTGCTGCTCTGATTCTGTGCACAGCAGGCTTGGGTCCAGCCGGACTCGGCACCTCATGAGTGCGGCTGCACTGTTTCCAGGCCCATCTTGGATTCAGAATTCCAGTTGCCTTTGCATGGAACTCAGACATTGAGTCCTGCTCAATTTAGTGTGGTTGCTTGCGGAGCTATTTGGATCTTCGTGCTGCGTATCCCTACTGTCGGGTGTGTTAGGGAGAGTAATCAGGGAAACCGTATTGGCCTTGTATAGAGGCAGCTCAGGACTGGTATAATTAGTGCTCAGTCACAATTAACAAGCTCATCTGACCCTGTAAGCCTAAGGATATCTCTTGCAGGTTCTCCAATGAACCGCTTGTTTTAAGTGTATGGAGCCTTTCCTGCCCTGCACATATGCTTCCCCAGTGTGCTTGTTGCTCAGGCACTGGACCTTTCTTGACCAGAAATCAAGACTGTAGAAAAACCACCGCGTTTTCTGTGATTTGCATCAATGTTAAATTTAGCACTGCCTGCATTATGCTTACTGCTGATTCACTAAGGTCTCTCAAATCACACATATATTCACAGTCTGACACTGTGGTAGTACAGTTTCCGTAAGGACGTACACTCTGCTTCTGTACTCCTAAGGATTCCGCTCAGCAGTGAACATCAGAGCTATCCTGCATGGATAAATCTAAGTCTCTCCATATTGAACTGTAAAGAGAGCTATCCAGACGTAGGCCCATTGAAAGAACATACATCATAGTTTTTTTTTCAGTACAATCATCACCAATCACAACGATGAATTATGCCAAAAAGAAATGAGAACTTGAATTTTCTGCATTTAAATACTCATCCTGTATATACAGCATATTAATAGTTCTGCAGGTAACACCAGGCTGTTGTGAAACTCAGCTCTATGTTCAAAGAATTGCTAGTTAGGACTTAAGTCAAATTGAGGGGGATCATAATCTACTAAATGATAAAAAACCCTGTTCTTTAGTAATGTGATTTTTACTGTAGGTTTCTGTAGATGGTAAAAAGGAATCTGTCTTGCCAGGTGTTAGTACTGTTTTTGTTTTTCAGGCTACATCTGTGAGAGGAAAGATCTGCTGGTAAATGGCTGTTGTAATGTCAACGTGCCCAGTACGAAGTTGTACAGCTGTGACAGCTGCCTTCCCAACGGCTGCTGCAGCGTGTACGAGTACTGCGTTTCCTGCTGCCTGCAGCCCAGCAAGGTGCTCTGACTTTCTCCTGCTTTTCAGGTGTTCTCATCTGCTCAGGTTCCTCTGTGACAACAAGTGCTTGTTTGTGAGGAGCTCTTTTCTTAAGGGAGGCAGTTCTTTTTCTTGGAAGGATGAGGAAAGCCTGCAAGGACCATATGGCAAGCTATAAAGAAAGCTTTAAAAAAATTCATCCTTCCCACCTTTGAGAGGCAATACTGGGAGCCTTGCAAAATGTTTCAGCTTCAGAGGAATTGCGTTTGCCGAGGGGAAATAATTGCAGAAAAGCTATTCTAGCTAGTATCAGTTTTGCAATTAGCACCTCCCTGAATTCTGTTAGCTTCTCCAGGTTCTCTTCCTACTGCTGGGGTTCCTTAACCTTTCAGTGCTTGATAAAAATTCTAAGTGGAGTTGCTTACTATTCCTCTGATACTTGAGCTTTGTAGGTTAAGGTGGACTTTGATTACTCCTTGTTGAAGTACAGTGTTTGTTTTCTTGTTTTGTTTTCTCTTCTCTTTTGCTAACCACTTCAGCAACATCTTCTGGAACGTTTCTTGAACCGGGCAGCTATTGCCTTCCAAAACCTCTTCATGGCAGTGGAAGATCGCTTTGAGTTGTGTCTGGCGAAATGCAGGACTTCATCACAGGTAAGAGATAAGTACATATCCAGGGCTCAAAAATGGAAAAATACCCAAAAAGAGCCTTTTGAAAAATGAGGCTTGGTCCTATGAACGACTAGTCTGTTGCGCTTGCATGCACACGGGCATTTTTATAAATGCTGAAGCTATGGCTGAGAGCTAATCCGAAAGCAGTCCCCTGATCTGTAAGGTGAAACAGTAACACCAGCAGTAAACGAAGGGCAAAGTGCATCTTTAGAGCAGCACGAGTTGTACACTCTTTAGAAAAGAGGTACTTAACTAAAAAGAGACTAGCTGAGTTGGATGATGGTGAAGATCTCGGATGAGTTCTAGGGAAGATCTTGTAAGCATGAGAACAGTGAGAGTTGTTCCCAGTAGCTCAATGCTATTTACTTTATGGTACTTTTTTAGGCTTACCATATGCTCACAATCATCTGCATAGTAACTCAGAAATTATGCTGTAATTTTTTTGCTTTTTAAGAAGAGAAGTGAACTTCTGTTACCCATCTGATTTTATTAGAAGTTTTGGTCTAAGCAAGCATTGCCCCTCTTAGAAAGTGCTGTTGGAGATGTCATGCAGCTCGAGTATTTAATGTAGCAATAGGGATGGATTGCAAACAAAGGACATAGTTCCAAATGTCTCCAAAGTTTTGATTTTTTATTTTTTTTAATCCATAGTATCCGAACTTGAGCTTTATCAAGAAAAATGCACACATTTCAAGTAGCAGCTTTGTTACAATACTACCTAAGCATATATAATTTTTTTAAAATATTGAATCTGTTCCCACCTACTCGGGTAGTTTCCTGAAAAGGAGGTTCTGGGTATGGTTCAACATTAAACTGCTATAATATAGTAACTGTCTTTTTTATGTTGGGAGTGTTTGACTCCAGGTGATACTCTTATGCGTAGAATAATTTGGGAAATTTTTGCATGCATATAAACACTCTGGGTTTTGGCCCTTAGCGAAGGGATGTATTGTTTCAATATGTTTGTATTCTTAGAGCTTCTCCTCCTCTTCCTGACAGAGCGTGCAGCATGAAAACACCTATAGAGATCCAATTGCAAAATACTGCTATGGCGAGTACCCCCCAGAGCTTCTGCCTGTTTGAAAGCTGCGTGATCTGAGCAACAAGGGGAACGAACTGGAGACTAGAATCCCAAAGAGCAAGACAACAGCTGTTGCTTTGCAGAAGTGTGTAAATGGCTGATGCTGTTTCTGGGGACAAACCCAGAGGTGCACAGTGTAAGCGAGGGACTTAAGTTCTCCGGATTGAATCTTGCTTTCTTCAGTTTGGTATGCACCTACTCGAGAGTACTGGAGTACTAGTACTGTACTGGAGTACTAGTACATTCTTTGAAGACTTCCTCTAAATTTTAGGATGTGCAGAGTTGATCTAGGCTAAAAAACATCATAGGAAAAATATCTAATGCAGCTTTGCAGCTGTACACGGAGCTTCAATTGTGTCTCTGCAGTCCAGAGACTTTCCAGAGTGACAGTAGTAATTGGAGGTTTTTTGCTTTTAGAGAGTAAAGCATGCAGCATGCCTGATGTGCTTCTCTCTCTGGAGCACTTCTTGGCGTGCATGGTGTACACTACATACGTAATTATGAATTATTTATTCATTTTATAAGGATTACTAGCTGAAAGTACTGATGCTTTGCACAGTTAGTTGTTGATGCCTTTCAGTCCCCGTTTTGTTATGTCAGGCAGAAAAGGAGATTTTAGATCCTGACTAAAATTGGTTGGGATTTTTCCTCCTTAGTCTAAAGGAATTGTATTGGGATTTGTTGCTGTAGTGCTTATGTTCCTCTTAGTGAGTTTAAAGCATTCAGAACTCCAATGGAGTTGTTATTCTGTTGAAGTCCCATAGCACAAGAGAAGAGCAGGGATCTGCCTAGGATGGGATGTTTATTGTCTGTAAACACTGTCCTTGTTACTCTGCAACAGTTTCCTCGAAGAGGAGTCTTAGTCTTGTAAACAGCTCTCTGCTAGTCCACTTTCTGACAGGGAGCACTGAAGATTTGTTTGCTTGAACTTGTTCAGGCCTTAGTAATTCAAATGTACGTCGCTCCTGGTTGCGCAGGAGGCAGAAGGGTGGAGTCGTTCTAGGATTTCAGTTTAATGATGTCCTTGTGTGTAATTAATGTAATTAAGTAATTAGAATGTCAGAACATGGCGCAAGCCCTCGTCTGAGGACAACTGTTGCATGAGTTCAGTTAAACAATCATGATGCTTTGGATTTGCTGTTTGACATACTTGCTACTCTGGAATTTCAGTCTGATCAGAATGGCACTGGAACAGGGTTGGTTCTCCCGCAATTTCTCCTTGCTCTCTAAAGTTGCAATTTAGACTGTCTCCCTCTTAAGGCCAAACAACGCAGAAAAGATGGGTAGGGAACCTGTAAATGCTGACTCAATTTGTGCTGCCTCTGCAAGTCACAAAATCGGTCTGTTCTTTTCTATGTGCAGAGCCTCATCTCTCTTGTTTTTACTCCATCCACTTCCACTGTGATTTTGACTTTGTGTATGTTTGTTTAAACTGATACTTCCTATTCCCTGACTGAAAACAATCTACAGAGGCTTTAAAAAAAAAAAAAAACAACAACCAAAACAAGCACAGTGATGCAGTACCCTGGTGCAAAATATCTCTAGAATGCTATTGTAATTACATATGATAGAAACGAGAACAAGTAGTTACCTGCCATCTGATAAGATGCACTTGTATTATTTTCCTTGTGCTTTCCCAGAAGTCATCAAGTGATATAATGGTTTCATCAGCAGATTCTCTTGAAAATCTTGTTTTTTCCAAAAGCTTAAAAGCTTTAGCATTAGCAGTTTATCTATCTGAAAATGTCTCCCCTTTGCTGCCATCCTATGGCAACTTGCTGCAGCAGACATGATACAGTGTGAAGATGCAGTGTGAAATGCTGTCTTCAGAGGGTAGCAGAGGTCACTTCTCTCTTCAGTGTTAAAGAGATTCTTCACCCCTGTTCCAGCACTTCATAACTGTTTTCCTCAGGGAAAGCCATCAGGTTGATCTGTTAAATGATTCCTATCCAGTATTTCGTGTTTTTGCACCACAACTGATGAGATCAAGATACTGATGGCTTGTTCTTCCTTTCTTTTCCAACTTGGTATTAACTCCTTAGCAGGTGATGGCACCGCTTGAAGCAGTAACTGTTAGAAATCATAAGAACCAATCTAATTCGGACAACACTAGTGGGAATTCCTGGCCCCTTTCTCTCCTAGAAAAACATGATGTGATCAGAAGTGCATTGGGACCATTGTCCATTCAATGGGACAGAAACTGCATCCTCCCTCCCTGGTTGTTGAGCTGTTCAATGAGTGTCTATACTATATGTTAGATCATTAAAAATGTATCTGTGTTCCAAAATACTGTTGTTCTCATGTCTTTCCTTGAACTACAAGGAAACTGTACCAAAATGTAAGTTTGAAGAATGCAGTGGAGCAGAGAGGGCCACTAATGAGTATGTGTAATAAAGGCAGGCGGGTAGAGGCAAACAGGAAATCTATTACATGTCAATCTAAGAAAAGAGCATGCTTCTTTCTGGTGCACAGAAGGATCTGGCCCTTTGCAAAAGTGGTTTGAGCAGGGGAAGGAACGAAAATGATTGCTTCATGTTGTGAAGATACAATGAGAAATGTCAAAACTGTGCTGCCTGGTAGTACTTCTGGGGGGTTTAAGTGGTGTCCATCCCTCTTGCAAAAAAGCCTGGTGATTCTGTGCCGATCAGGGGCTGGCTGACATATCCTTTCTGTTTGTCAGCTGAGAGACTTGGGTTGTTGACTTGTGTTTGGCAGCAGATTTAATGAGGGGACTTGATAGAGCGACTAGCTCTGCTTATCTGCGCTGAGGTCAGTGCTGGGGATAATTGACTGGGTTGTGTACTCTGTGATTTCTGCAGTTTACAAGAATATTAATGCTAGTGAAAAATGGGAGCAGCTGACATCTAATGAGGAACAGGTATAGTATTTGGCTGTACCAATTTGGAAACAGTAATCTGTGGCAGAAGGGCAAAGCAGTGTAACTGCCATCTTCACTGAATTTAAACTTGAGCCATTGGCCTTGAAAGAACCTGCTGTACTGCTCCATTGAGATGGTATGTGAAGAGCTGGATAAAAAGTCTTACTGTGATGGGCTGGAGTTCTGAAAAGGCAAAAGCAGGCTTCTGGCTTGAGTCCATCACTAAACAGTCGATGAGTTGAGACCCCAGTTCTGCGTTCTCAGAATATCACTCGTTGTAGTGGCAATTCTTCACTCTTATCTCCTGTATATGTTCGGGCTCTAATGGCTTGGAGAACTTTCTAACAAACCATGTTAGGAGTCAGTTTCAGAATATAAAGCACTGAGCACAGCAAACCCTAAACATGAGTCTTTGTTCTGATATGCTTTTAAAAAGCAAAGGCTTTTTTTACTTCCCTTGTCATTTAGCTGGACAGGCTTTAAGCTTTAGGATTTGTTCTGTCTTGTGCTAGTCACTTAAACTGCAAACATGCTAGATCCTTTAACCTAGCACCATAATGTGATGTTTGTTCTCCAGTTATTCTAGTCAAGGAGGGGTGGGGGAGGAGGAGAAAAGGAATTTTCTAACTCAGCAAGTTCCACAAAAGATGGAGTTCAGCAAATTATTGGTGCTTTAATAAGAGCCCTCCGCATTTTTTATTTTTTTTTTTTACAACCTGAGGCAAACAACTAACTATATGCAGAGGGGGAAAAATGCCAACTTCAAAACCTGCAGGGAATGATGGGAAAGTACTTAGTTCTTCATTTTTGATCCGTGTCTAATTAAACAGGCAGTTCTATCTAATACTTTTGGTCAAATAAGGGCTTACTTGTAGCAACATGCATACTGTCTACAGGATGCTTTCCATTTTCAATGCAGTCATATGGCCACAGATTTTTCTTAGAAATCATGGTTCTTAATACATTAGAAGGATAGGTCTTAAACGAGAATTCTCAAGATGCCTTCAGACTGAAGCATGTTTGTTGCTGTGGTCTGCTGTTTTGCCTATGGTAAAATAACACAAAGTTGCAGAGCAGAGAAAATGAATAAGCTAATTCTGGCTGAAAAGCTTGCCTTGTAGAAGCTTTTCTAGTATGTATTTCAATTAAGTGGATAGAAGACCACAAGCTATAGTTGTAAATGGAATGAGAGGCAAGTGTTAGGTTTTCCATGGATGAGATTACAATTAATCTGTTGACAGTGTTCATGGTTGAAGAGAGGACTAGCACCTGGTTTCTTGCCAATCGAATGGAAGCTTTCAATAAAATCCAGCTCTCATTTATTCCATATGTTTTCTGTCTCTCTGCATGCACCTACAGAGTAAGGCACACTAATAGAAATCAAGGTGAATGAGAATTATGCGTCAATTGTCCTGCACAAAATCAGTTTAGATTTTAAACTCCTCAGACAAAAAGACAACTCTACATTTGTAGTTCCTATGACTTCTGACCATGGCCTCACCTGGAGCCTTTAATGTACCTATTGATATGAATAACACCTGTTTTACACAGATAGAAAATATCACCATTTAAAGAAGTGGGATGAGGTTGGGTATAAGTCACAGGTGTGACACATTTGTTTTAACACCAAAAAAAAAGCAGCATCCTAAGCTACTGACATTCATATGCATAAAAACACATCTATCAGCTGTGCAAGATGACACTGGGTATGCTGTATCCACATCTTCAAACTGAAAAATGTAGATTATTTACAAACTACAGTTACAGAACTGCTTAGTAATAAAAGTTGTGCTATCAGAGGAAATAAACATGTTCATACATGGATGAACAAGAAGGAGCTGGAGCTGCTGGAGCGGGTCCACGGGAGGCCACGAAGATGATCCAAATGCTGGAGCACCTCTCCTATGAAGACAGGCTGAGAGAGTTGGGGCTGTTCAGCCTGGAGAAGAGAAGGCTGCGGGGTGATCTTGTTGCAGCCTTCCAGTACCTAAAGGGGGCCTACAGAAAAGTGGAGAGGGACTTTTTACAAGGGCGTGTAGTGACAGGACAAGGGGCAATGGATTTAAACTGAAAGAGGGGAGATTTAGATTAGATCTAAGGAAGAAATCTTTCACTCTGAGGGTGGTGAGGCAGTGGAACAGGTTTCCCAGAGAAGTTGTGGATGCCCCATCCCTGGGAGTGTTCAAGGCCAGGTTGGATGAGGCTTTGGGCAGCCTGGTGTAGTGGAGGGTGTCCCTGCCCATGGCAGGGGGGCTGGAACTGGATGATCTTTGAGGTCCCTTCCAACCCTAATGATTCTAATTTATCTAAATCGCTGATGCCTTAAAAATACAC